CCCGTGTCCCCTGCATCGGCAGGCGGACTCTCAACCACTGCGCCACCAGGGAAGCCCTATACAAATTTTAAATGTTACTTTCCATTTATAGTTATCACAAGATATTGGCTGCATTCCCCATGTTGTACAATACATCCTTGAGCCCATCTTACACCCAAGAGCCTGGGCCTCCCCCTCCCCCACCCCTATATTGCCCCTCCCTCCCTCCCCACTGGTAACCACTAGCTGGTTCTCTATATCTGTGAGACTGTTTCTTTTTTGTTCTACTCACTACTTCGTTGTATCTTTTAGATTCCACATGTAAGTGGTATCATACAGTATTTGTCTTTCTCTGTCTGACTTATTTCAATTAGCTTACTGCCCTCCAAGTCCATCCATGTTGCTGCGAATGGCAAAATTTCATTCTTTTTAATGGCTGAGTACTATTCCATTGTATATATGTACCACATCTTCTTTATCCATTCATCTGTTGATGAACACTTAGATTGCTGGAGTTTTTAAATTACATTTTAAAAAAAGAATTACAGGGATTTCCCTGGCAGAGCAGTGGTTAAGAATCCACCTGCCAATGCAGGGGACACAGGTTCGAGCCCTGGTCCAGGAAGATCCCACATGCCACAGAGCAACTAAGCCCATGCGCCACAACTACTGAGCCTGCGCTCTAGAGCCCGCGAGCCACAACTACTGAAGCCCGCGCACCTAGAGCCCATGCTCCGCAACAAGAGAAGCCACCACAATGAAAAGCCCGCGTGCCACAATGAAGACCCAACCCAGCCAAAAATAAATAAATAAAATAAATACATTTATTAAAAAAAAAAAAGAATTACAAGAGGAGACTTGTCACAGAAAATATCAAGATTTGTTACAAAATTATATCAGGAAGAAAAGAGAGGGAGGAGCAATAAGACCAATAGATCAATAGATTTTTACATACGAGAATGTTTGGGTAAATATATATGGGTAAAATTTGGTATAAGATAAAGTTGGCATCCCAAACCAAAGAGATGAATTAGTTAATAAAAAGAGCCAGGTCAATTGATTCATGTGCAGAAAAAATATTAAATTTCTGTATCTTCTACACAAACATTTCAGGATAGTGGATTTGAGAACTAAATATGAAAAGACAAATCAAAGCATAAAAACAAATATAAGAGAACTTTTGGTCTTTCCCAACCATAAAAGCTAGATTGACTACATAGTAATTTAAGATTCTCTACAATGAAGGACAAAATTTAAAAGACAAATGATAAACTGGGAAAAAATATTTACAGTATATATAGCCAAGAAAGGGTTTAAGGGTCATAAGATATAAAGAGATCCTATAAAGAAGAAAATAAACAACTCAATAAGAAAAAAAACCCCACAATAACTAGCAAAGGATATAAATAGGCAATTTACAGATAAAAATACAAGAGGCTAATAGATATTTTTCACCTGTGATATGAGCAAAAAATTTAAAGTTTGCCAATATTTAATATTGGTGAACATTTGGAAAATGGATATTCCCATACACTGATAAATGCTTTGAAGAGCAGTTTGTCAATATCCCTTACAGCTGAATATGCTCAATACTTCCATCTAACATTTCTACTCCTAAGAATTTTTCTCATACAATATTTGCAGAATTGTTCTAAATATACATATGAAATGTTAATTATAATACTAAACGTAATAACAGCAGAGAGAAAATTACCCTGATGCCCACGTTGCTTACATAACCATTAGGAGGAGTATTTACATAGCCAACAAAAGGACTGAGTTAGAGCTATATTTACTAACATGATAAAATGTCCAAAAGATAGCAGTGTTAATGAATAAAGCAAATTGCACACAAAAAATATATAGTATAATCTCATCCGTGTAAATTTAGTATTAATAATCATTTTTATATATAATATATTCTAATATGTTAAAAGATGGTCAAATATGCATCAAAGGATTGACAGTGCTTTGTGGGGAACTTTTGCCTTCTACATTATATACTTCTGTGTTTTAGTTTTATACAACTTATGTTAAATTGCTTTCTATTTAGAAAAAACTAATTTATTAAAAACATAGAGAAAAAAGAGGAATAAATCTAACTGCTCTGAATAGTCATAAAATTTATTTCAAATTTGGGTTGGGCCTAATCTGTCACATAAGCTATCAGTTATATACAGATACATTTTCTATATGAACATAGCTATTTAGAAACTATGAAGTGATATCCAAAGCCAATTCCTTAATTGAAGGGGGAAAAAAAATGAAGATGCTCTATAGTTATATTAATAAGGTTAATACCTAAATCTTCTAATGTCAACAATTCTAACTACAATAAATGAAATTTCTTCCTTCTTTTGCACTTTGTTATCTGCAAATTCAAAACTTTCAACAACACAATCCCGTGAGGTGCTCCCTTCTAATACAGAGCTCACAGGTAAGTACATCCTCACAAATCCATGCAGGAATCACAGACGTTTATTAGGCACTTTGGAAATGAACAAAACTGCATTTTCCTAAGATCAGCAGAGTCAAAGTGCATTATAATGAAGCTGCTCATCAAACACATAAACAGTGAACAGAAAGGTTATAAATCACAAAACATTCCAATGGTATTATAGAGTTCTCTAATGAAATGGGACTTTGTTTTTCAAGCGAGATGACTAAAATAGAGCACCTCTACTTTTGGTTATTTCTTCAGGTGGATGACGCTGAAGAACCTAACAAAGCAGCGGAAAATAAAGCACCCAGTAAGTTCCAGTCCATAGGAGTGCAAGTAGAAGAGGAGAAATGGTGAGTCCACATGCATTTGTCCCCTTTCGTCTTGCTGTCGGCAAGTATATGGCACAAGTATCTTTTCCCTATGAAAAACCTTCAAGATTCAGTGTTATCTCCCATTCACTTCTGGGAGCATTCAGAGGGCGAGCCTGAGTCAATATCAGCTGATTCCTTCCTCTACTTTAATACTGGAGGCCACTCCATTTAAATGTTAGCTAGAATAGTAGTGTTGGGGCCCAAAATATGCCTCAATGGCGCGTTGATTATTTTGAATTAAAACTACTTAAGAAACAGTCAACGCCAGAGGGATACCTCTACCTTCCTCTCTGTCTCCCTGAAAGCAGGAAATAAATTTCCCACGTGAAAGGTGCTCTCCTCGTACTGGGAGGTAGAAAGACACCATTATCACCAGAGATAGGGGACTCAGGGCTGGAGAAGCCTGCATACTTGTTACTTCTTTACTAATTTACTACCTAAGCCCAAACTTTGCTTAAGTTCCTTACTAATTAAACACCCAAAGCTAAGTTTCTTTGTCCTGTCAATCCCTTTCATATTTATTGCTTCTTTGTCTAAAAAAATATAAAAGCTATCTGCTTTGGCCACTTCTTAGGTCCCATTTCTGTGCGACCTCTATGTGCACACAAATTAAATGGGTTTCTTTTTCTCCAGTCCACAGGACACAGTCTGTCTTGTGTCAATTTTATGATTGGTCCAGCCACAGGAACTCAAGAGGAGAAAAGGGGAAATGTCCCCTCCCTGACAGTAGAGTAAGCGGATCCCACTCACACACACACATAAACACTGTGTGTTGTACTGTTGTGTTGCCAAAATTGGTATTTTTATTTCTAGAGCTTAATAGTGTCTCATGTTGAGTATGTGCTCAATGAATGATGAATGAATGAACGAACAAATGAGTAGGAAGGGGAGAAGACTCCCTGTCACTATCCAGAATCGCCAGTTTCTTTAAATTGTTCTTTAAGATAAGCTTACTTTAGACTTAGTATCTAGAAGTAGGAAATTTAGAGTTTGAGAAGATCACAGAATCCAGAAGGTGGAAAGGGCTTCTGAGGTCAGTCCATTCATTTTATAAATGAGAATTTGATCTGGAGAGGTTTGTGAGTTTCCCAGTCAAACTGTGAGGACCATGATGGATGGAACTATGTTTTATTGATAGTAATACCCCCAGCTTCCAGACTGTGCTTTTCATATACTAAGTATGTAGTGAGTGTTGGCTGAATGAGGGAGAAAGAACTCTATATTCTAAATCAGGATATCCGTTCAATTTTGCCACTAACTTTTTATGTGTTAATAAGGAGAAATCAGTTGGATGTCATCCATCCAACCGTTCACCACCCATCCATTCAATAAATACCTATGGGATGTCTCCTATATACAAGGCCCCATGTAACATAAACTTAAAATCTGAGAATAAGGCATGCATCAGTTCATGGAACGGGTCCTATTTTATAGCCTCCTGTTACTGACACTGCCTTTGTATCTAAAAGGTTTTCAATATACATATATATAACATTTTGATGCTACTATATCTGATATAATTATACAATGCTGGAAGCCCAGAAAATTGGTACAACCCTAATGTGGAAACTAATATGACAAAAATTAGCAATAATTATACAACTATCCAAATCCATTGACCCAGTAATTCCATTCATGGGGCTATCCTGAATGAAATCACTCAGTGAAAGGGAAAAAACTGTGGAACATTACCTATCGTTGTAAAAGAAAAATGTCAATCATCACATGTCAAGCAATAAGAGAATGCTTTTGTAAATTATAGCATGTCACCAGGATAGACTATTATACAGCTATTAAATGTGATTATAAAGAAGATGTGGAAACATGGGAGAAATTCCCACGATACGATGTTAAGTGAAAAAGAGGACGTAATACCCACATATAATATTCACAAAGAAGAACAAGGACTGAAATGTAATCTGTAAAAATGGTAGGTTTAGGAGTTTTTTTTTTTTTTCTTTTACTCTAAAATGTTTACTTATTGTATCTACTTCAAGTTTTAGTAATCACTGTTTTCAAACCAACCCTTCTGGCACATGTTCCTTTCATTGCTTTAGAAAATGTTTTGAAAATGTAAACTTAGTAGATATGAAAGATCTCGTGGTAAGAAAACATATTCCTCCTTCCCCTACAAGCCCAACTTGCTCGTTTTCCTCAATGATGTAGTGGTTAAGAACACAGGCTCCTGAGCCAAGCCACCCAGATTCAAATTCTGACTCTTCCACCTACTAGCTGGGAGGCCTTGATCAAATTACTAAATATCTTTTTGCCTTGGTTTCCTTATATATAAAAAGAAGATAACAGGCAATTTCTGGTCCAGCAGGTAAAGAAGAGCTTAGAAGTCACCACTCTGTTTTAACAACAAGTAAAAAAGCTGTTCAAACTGAAAAATCAACAACTCTTCTTAAACCAGTCAGAGAAGTGAGGCCACAAGAAAAATCAGTGCTCTGGGTACTGCAGAGACTCACAGACACAGAGAATCACAACTTTCTGGAGTAGAAACCCACAAGAGAAAGCCCCATGGGAACTAGTACCAGGGTAGGAAAACATGAACTGTAATTGATGAATTGCTGGCAGCTCAGTGAGGACAAGTCTGAGAGTTGAAATTTTTACAGGGACCCAGTCATAGGGGGGCCTCCATCCTTTCATGATTCTTACCTGCAGAAGATCTACCAGGTCCTCACAGTGAAAATCAGAGAAGAATCCTCTCATGCTTCTGATGGAGAGAGGGGAAAGGAACCATTCTGAAATATGCCAGAGCATTCTGTTCTTAACAAGATCTGCCTGCAGGAGAAACTAATTTACCAGAGCCTTATCTGCTGGGTTTCTAATCAGAGCCTAAATCTACCTGGGAGAAGGGAAATACCTAACCCCAGCCAGCCCCTTCTTGCCATCCTGTCCTGCAGTGCGGGGAAGGGGGGAGAGATTGAGAAACACTCTTGAAGTTCACAGTCCAAGGGCACAGGCTCATTGAAAGACTAAGACCTAATCGTAGGACTAGAGAAGCTTCCCCTCCCCCACACCTCACCACCGCATTTATTAAAAACCCATTATTCACCACAGTTCTTTTACCCAGTACATCATGTCCATCTTTCAACAATGACTTACAAGGCATACTAAAAGGTAAAAAATACAGCTTGCAGAGACTGAGCAAGCACTAGACCCAGAGTCATCTATGACAAGAATGTTGGAAGTCTGGGTGTACTCTGATGCTTTTGCAAAAATGTTCCTATAAAAGGGTTTCATCTTCAAGGAATTCATGGAAAAGACTCTGACAAGTACAGGTTTCTGGTAACTGACTATACAGCTGAACTGAATGAATTAGCATTGTCAGAACTCTAATGGAAAACTGATGAATTCATAAAAGTGCTAACAAAAGATCAAGATGAAAAAAAATTAATTACATGGGACTGAGTGAACTGATGAGGATGATTATAATTTTTGACTTTCTGTTTGAATAAAACAAAAAATCCCACAAGGACTCAGAGGCAAAAAATATACAAATCAATTTTCACTGCAAAGTAAAGGAGCTGTTACAGTGGAGGATTCCTGGACTGAATGTCAATATTATGACATAGTGTGAGTGTGTTTCATGTTTGGTAATTGCAATCATTGTTGCTTTTGTTGTAGTCATCCATTTACAATGCTTGGGGTCAGTTTATTTACCTCTTGTAAAAATAAAATACAGTGTGTGTGTGAAAAAAATAAATAAATAAGAGATTTAAAAAGTTAAAAAAAAATACTGAAAGCAGGAAAAAAATAAGCTTGGATGGATGGATGGGTAGATGGAGAGATAATAGGAAGTATTCATAAATTCACTGGTGAAATTTGGTAGGTTGAATCAATTGAATCTAAATCAGATGTTTCTTTAGAGGGTATGGAGACATGCAGCTTTTAGGTTAAATGACAGTTTAGAGAAGCGGCAAGTAAATAAAGGTTTTGTACATTAAAATAAAGATCTGGGCTACACAGTTTGATAGCAATTGAAAAAAGAATGTTGGAAGTAACATCAGGAATTTTTTTACACTATGATTAAAATGCTAAAGACTTTAATAGAAACAGCAGACAGCATACAAGAACAGATGAATAATGTAAGCAGAAAAATGGAAATTCTAAGAAAAAATAAAAAACAAATGCTAGAGATTGGAAACACTGTACCAGAAATGAAGAATGCTTTTGATGGACTCATTAGTAGACTAGTCATGGCTGAGGAAAGAATCTCTGAGTCTGCAGATACAACAGTAGAAACCTCCAAAACTGGAAGCAAAGAGGAAACAAAACCTGAAAAAAATCAGAACAGAATATCCAAAAACTCTGGGGCAATTACAGAAGGTGAACATATGCATAATGAGAATACCAGAAGGAAAAGACAGAAAGGGACAGAAGCAACATTTGAAGCAATAGTGACTGAAAATTGCCCCAAATTAGTGTCAGACACCAAACTACAGATTTAGGAAGCTCATAGAAGGCCAAGCAGGATAAATGCCCAATACAATACACCTAGACATGTCATATTCAGAGAAAACCAAGGAAAAATTCCTGAAACAAGCCAGAAGGAAAAGACACCTTTCCTATTGAGGTGTAAAAATAGGATTATATGTGACTTTTCCTCAGACACCATGCAAATAAGAGAATAGAGTGAAATATTTAATATTTGAGAGAAAAAAACACGAGCCTAGAATCCTATACTCTGTGACATTATCCTTTAAAAGGGAAGGAAAAATAGGGCCTCCCTGGTGGCGCAGTGGTTGAGAGTCCGCCTGCCGATGCAGGGGATACGGGTTTGTGCCCCGGTCCGGGAGGATCCCACATGCCGCGGAGCGGCTGGGCCCGTGAGCCGTGGCCGCTGAGCTTGCGCGTCCGGCAACGGGAAAGGCCACGACAGTGAGAGGCCCACATATCGCAAAAAAAAAAAAAAAGGGAAGGAAAAATAAAGACTTTCTCAGACAAACAAAAATTGAGGGAATTTGTAGCCAGTA